TTATTCCTCCCTCCCTGCTTCCTTCCTTCCCTCCCCTCCTCCCTCCCTCCCTTCCTCCCTCCCTCCCTTCCTTCCTTCCTTCTCTCCCCTATTCTTTATTCCTCCCTCCCCTCCCTGCTTCCTTCCTTCCCTCCCCCCTTTTGATCTTGGAAGTGTGCAAACGATGGTGTGTGGCACACTTGTGTTTGAGCATTGCCCCCTTCCAAGTGGGTGGTTTCAAATGGGGCCAATAGCTCTGCAAGCTTGTATATTGCTTGTGGTTGACATTTTGAGGTAGGCTGCCTCTGAATATGAAGATACTAAACCGGTGTTTCTCAAACTTAGGGATTTTAAGATCTATGGATTTCAACTCCCAGAATTCCCCAGCCAGCTTCTTTTAGATGTATGGTGTCCATACATGCTGGCTGGGGGATTCTGGGAGTTGAAATACACCCGTCTTAAAGCATGGAATTCTGAGAGTGGAAGTCTCTTAAAGCATCCGGGCTGGGGAATTCTGGGAGTGGAAGTCCACCCCTTTTAAAGCATCCTGACTGGGGGATTCTGGGAGTTGAAGCCCACCCCACTTAATGCATGCTGGCTGGGGAATTCTGGGAAATGAAGTCCACTCTTCTTAATGCATGCTGGCTGGGGAATTCTGGGAGTGGAAGTCCACCCCCTCTTAAAGCATGCAGGCTCGGGAATTCTGGGAGTTGAAGCCCACCCCACTTAAAGCATGGCTGGCTGGGGGATTCTGGGAGTGGAAGTCCCCCCGTTTACAAGTAGCCAACCTTGAGAGACACTGTTCTAAACCCAGGCTTGATTTGAACCTTAGACAGCACAGATATCCTGGTTATGCTGAGTGACATGGATATCAACGCCATCGCGGGGACCCTGAAGCTGTACTTCCGCGAACTGCCGGAACCTCTGCTGACCGACCGGCTCTATCCGACGTTTATGCAGGGCATCGGTAAGGACTTCCGTTCACGTACATTTGGGAGAGACAGAGGGAGTCAAGATCTGCAGCTCAAGACTCTTAAAAACCAGAGCTGATTTCATTTTGGGGAAAATTTGCACTAGTACCCATAGTCCTCGAGTTACGACCGTCTGTTTAGTGACCACTCAAAGTTGCAACGTGACTGAAAAAAAGTCACTCGTGAGCAGTTTTCACCCTCACAAGCATCTCCGCGGTCCCATGATCCAAATTCAGATTTATCTCGAGGGGCGAACGGGGAAAAAAAAAAGAAATACAGGTAGTCCTCGACTTACAACGGCTCATTTAGGGACCGTTCAAAGCTGCAACGGCACTGAAAAGAGGGACTGAGGACCGTTTTTCACACTTAGCGACCGTTGCGGCCTCTCCACGGTCACGGGATCAAAATTCCTCTCGTCCACTTGGCAACCGGCTCCTATTTATGACGGTCGCAGCGTCCCGGGAGGGGAGGGTCACGTGATCCTTTTTTGCGTCCTTCTGACAAACAAAGTCAAGGGGGGGGGATCCGGATTCACTTAATGACCGGGTTACTAACTTAACAACTGCAGTGATTTACTTAAGAACTGTGGCCAGGAAGGTTGTTAAATGGGGGCAAAACTCGCTTTTAAAAATATTTCACTTAGCAATGGAAGTTTTGGGATCCATTGTGGTCGTAAGTCGAGGACTTTGCTGTAAAATAGCGGATTTATTCAATGTTGCTGCACTTGTTTACTGCAAAGCGGACTGGCTTGCCTTAAATCAACAACATCTGTTCGGCAACTTGTGGACATCTGGTTTCCCATCCCGCTTCCTGATTGGCTGGGTGGTCCTCTGCTCCCTCCTCCCTTCCATCCAGCATCTGGGGCAGATTTTGCAAATCTGCTAACCCTTTCCAGAATGAAGCCTTCAGTTAACTTAAGTTTGTAGGTTTGTTCCAGCAGGGAATGATAAACTAAGCAAGCTGGCTGGCACTCAAAAAGCCAGCAAAAAAGCCAACACAGTGCTGGGCTGCATTAACAGAGGGATAGAATCAAGATCAGGTGAAGTGTTGATATCACTTTACAAGTGACAAAATTAGTGGATGAGAGGAATGCTGTGGATATAATTTACTTGGACTTCAGTAAGGCATTTGATAAAGTACATCACAACCTACTACTTGACAAGATAGAAAAATGTGGGGTAGACAGCATCACCACCAGATGGATCCGTAGCTGGCTGACCGGCCGTACTCAGCGAGTGGTCCTCAATGGAACCACATCTNGGCTGGGGGATTCTGGGAGTGGAAGTCCACCCCCTCTTAAAGCATGGCTGGCTGGGGGATTCTGGGAGTGGAAGTCCACCTCTCTTAAAGCATGGCTGGCTGGGGGATTCTGGGAGTGGAAGTCCACCCCTCTTAAAGCATGCTGGCTGGGGGATTCTGGGAGTGGAAGTCCCCCCGTTTACAAGTAGCCAACCTTGAGAGGACACTGTTCTAAACCCAGGCTTGATTTGAACCTTAGACAGCACAGATATCCTGGTTATGCTGAGCGACATGGATATCAACGCCATCGCGGGGACCCTGAAGCTGTACTTCCGCGAACTGCCGGAACCTCTGCTGACCGACCGGCTCTATCCGACGTTCATGCAGGGCATCGGTAAGGACTTCCGTTCACCTCCATTTGGGGGAGACAGAGGGAGTCAAGATCTGCAGCTCAAGACTCTTAAAAACCAGAGCCGATTTCATTTTTGGGAAAGTTTGCACTAGTACCCATAGTCCTCGAGTTACGACCGTCTGTTTAGTGACCACTCAAAGTTGCAACGTGACTGAAAAAAAGTCACTCGTGAGCAGTTTTCACCCTCACAAGCATCTCCGCGGTCCCATGATCCAAATTCAGATTTATCTCGAGGGGCGAACGGGGAAAAAAAAAAAGAAATACAGGTAGTCCTCGACTTACAACGGCTCATTTAGGGACCGTTCAAAGCTGCAACGGCACTGAAAAGAGGGACTGAGGACCGTTTTTCACACTTAGCGACCGTTGCGGCCTCTCCACGGTCACGGGATCAAAATTCCTCTCATCCACTTGGCAACCGGCTCCTATTTATGACGGTCGCAGCACCCCGGGAGGGGAGGGTTACATGATCCTTTTTTGCGACCTTCTGACAAACAAAGTCAAGGGGGGAAGCCGGATTCACTTAACGACCAAGTTACTAACTTAACAACTGCAGTTATTTACTTAAGAACTGTGGCCAGGAAGGTTGATAAATGGGGGCAAAACTCGCTTTAAAAAAATGTTTCACTTAGCAACGGAAGTTTTGGGATCCATTGTGGCCGTAGGTCGAGAACTTTGCTGTAAAATAGCGGATTTATTCAGTGTTGCTGCACTTGTTTACTGCAAAACGGACTGGCTTGCCTTAAATCAACAACATCTGTTCGGCAACTTGTGGACATCTGGTTTCCCATCCCGCTTCCTGATTGGCTGGGTGGTCCTCTGCTCCCTCCTCCCTTCCATCCAGCATCTGGGGCAGATTTTGCAAATCTGCTAACCCTTTCCAGAATGAAGCCTTCGGTTAACTTAAGTTTGTAGGTTTGTTCCAGCAGGGAATGATAAACTAAGTAAGCTGGCTGGCACTCAAAAAGCCGGCAAAAAAGGCCAACACAGTGCTGGGCTGCATTAACAGAGGGATAGAATCAAGATCACGTGAAGTGTTGATACCACTTTACAAGGCCTTGGTAAGGCCACACTTGGAATACGGCATCCAGTTTTGGTCACCAGGATGTAAAAAAGATGTTGAGACTTTGGAAAGAGTACAGAGAAGAGCAACAAAGATGATTAGGGGACTGGAGGCTAAAACATATAAGGAACGGCTGCTGGAATTGGGTCTGTCTAGTTTAACAAAGAGAAGGACGAGAGGGGACGTGATAGCAGTCTTCCAGTATCTCAGGGGTTGCCATAAAGAAGAGGGAGTCAAGCTATTCTCCAAAGCCCCTGAAGGCAGGACAAGAAGCAACGGATGGAAACTAACCAAAGAGAGAAGCAACCTGGAACTAAGGAGAAACTTTCTGACAGTGAGAACAATTAACCAGTGGAACAACCTGCCTCCAGAAGCTGTGGATGCTCCAACACTGGAAGTTTTTAAGAAGAGACTGGACAGCCATTTGTCCGAAATGGTATAGGGTTTCCTGCCTGAGCAGGAGGTTGGACTAGATGACCTCCGAGGTCCCTTCCAACTTTATCATTATTATTATTAATCAAGGAGAGAAGCAACCTAGAACTATTATTATTATTATTATTATTATTATTATTATTATTATTAATCAAGGAGAGAAGCAACCTAGAACTATTATTATTATTATTATTAATCAAGAAGAGAAGCAGCCTAGAACTAAGGAGAAACTTCCTGACAGTTAGAACAATTAACCAGTGGAACTCCTTGCCTCCAGAAGCTGTGAATGCTCCAACACTGGAAGTTTTTAAGAAGAGACTGGACAGCCATTTGTCCGAAATGGTATAGGGTTTCCTGCAGGGGGGTTGGACTAAATGACCTCCAAGGCCCCTTCCAACTTTATTATTTTATTATGTGCCTTTCCAAAAGGCAACTAGACTTTCTTGGGTTTTTTTCCCTTGAAAACGTTTTGCTTCTCATCTATTATTATTATTATTATTATTATTATTATTATTATTATTATTATTATTATTATTATTATTATTATTATTATTATTATTATTACTACTATTATTATTATTACCACCTACCCACTTCTTTTCTCTTTAATTCCATTTGGGTTTTTGTTTTGTTTTTTCCTAGCGCTTTCCGACCCCTCGGCCAAGGAAAACTGCATGCTGCATCTTCTACGGTCCCTTCCGGACCCCAACCTCATCACCTTCCTCTTCCTCCTAGAACACTTAAAACGGTGAGTTTCCCCGTCTTAAGCGGGGGTGTGTGTGTGTCTTTCGTTAATTTTTTCACTCATTTCTCTTGCACCCAAAGGTGTTTTTTCTACGAGGCAGCTGGGCTTTCCTGTTTTTCTCTGAAGACATTTCGCTTCTCCTCCTAGAAGCTTCTTGAGCTCTGACTGGATTTCCTTTGCACATTCCCGTTTTCCGTCCCACCTGCCTTCATTCCCTTTCAAGCTTTCCAGGATAGCCGGCAAGTTACAGATAGTCCCCCACTTACGACCAGAACGTAATTTCTGTGGCTAAATGAAACATTGGTTAAGTTGAGTTGAGTTGAGTTGAGTTGAGTAGAGTTGAGTTTAGAATAGAGTAGAGTAGAGTAGAGTAGAGTAGAGTAGAGTAGAGTAGAATAGGGAATAGAGTAGAGTAGAATAGAATAGAATAATAGAATAGAGTAGAGTAGAGTAGAGTAGAGTAGAATAGAATAGGGAATAGAATAGAATAGAATAGAATAATAGAATAGAATAGAATAGAATAGAATAGAATAGAATAGAATAACAGTTGGAAGAGACCTTGGAGGTCATCTAGTCCAACCCCCTGATCAGGAAGGAAACCCTATACCATTTCAGACAAATGTCTGCCCAGTCACTTCTTAAAAACTTCCAGTGTTGGAACATTCACAACTTCTGGAGGCAAGGAGTTCCACTGGTTCATTGTTCTCACTGTCAGGAAACTTCTTCTTAGCTCTAGCTCTTTCCACCGTTATTAAGTGAATCACTGCAGGTGCTAAGCGAGTCCCACGGTTCATAAGTGAACCTGGCTCTCCCATTGACTTGGCTTGTCAGAAAGTCACCAAATGACCCCGGGATGCTGCGACCATCATAAATATGAATCAGTTGCCAAGCATCTGAATGTTTGATCACATGACCAAGGGAACGCCTCAACAGTCGTTAAGCGTGGAAAAACAGACATAAGCCATTTGTCTGAAATGGTACACGGTTTCCTGCCTGAGCAGAGGGTTGGACTAGATGACCTCCAAGGTTCCTTCCAACTTTATTATTATTATTGTTATTATTATTATTATTATTATTATTATTATTATTATTATTATTATTATTATTATTATTATTATTATTATTATTATTATGGCACAGTCAGCCAGATGTTTATACTGGATTTGGCATGTTGTCTACCTATCGAGTCCTTACCCAGGACCTGGGATGGGCAGATGTGGATGTTTGATGGTATTACAAATATCGTCGCAGGATGGAGGCGGTTCCTAGTAAGGCCGCCTTTTGCAATTGACTAATGGCGAATTTGTCAATGCCAATGGTGTTCAAGTGGTGCTCCAGTTATTATTATTATTATTATTATTATTATTATTATTATTATTATTATTATTATTATTATCATCATCATCATCATCATCATCATCATCATCATCATCATCATCATCATCATCATCATCATCATCATCATTATTATTCTCCGTGCCGTTGTAATTTCAATCCATCCCTTAAATGAACTGTATTGTTCATTGGGACTAATTGTATTGGGAACGGGGAAAAAAGCCCACCCACAAACAGCCAGGATAAATCTTAACACGCTTCGACCAGCCTTACAAAAAAAATAGAGCTCTAAATTAAAATTTAAGAGCAACGCTTTAAAAAAAAAAAGGGTAAAAGAATGTTTCCAAAACAGAGGAAAGAGGGGGGGGGATTCTTTTTAGCCTGGAGAAATCAGCCTTATTTTATTTCCTTTCTTTTTTTTTTTTTTTTGTGCGTTAAGAGGAATGCAAAACTTTTTTACATTAATAGGGGTATTTCCTAAACTGCATCCCACCCCCGCTCTCGCTTCAAAGCTTTCAGGGCATTTGCCGGAAAGAATTTCCCTGTTTTTGCAAAAAAGACAAAAAGGATTGTGCATTTTTTTTGAGGGGGGGGGACGGCTTCAGATTCCATCCGATGCTGCTTTTTAAAAATAAAATAAAATAAAATTCTGCCCCACGGGCATTTTTACATCCCTGTTGGCAGGGAGACGAGGAAGGGGTTCAGAGAGGGGGGGGGGCGCTGGGGCTGAGAGGTCCAAACCCCCTCCTCATTTGGGGCTGGGGGGTGTGCAGAATGCCCTGTCCTCGCTTGCCCCCGGAGTCTCCTGCTTAAGGACACGGTACCGTTTGGTGCAGGGCCCAGCTGGCCCGAGAAACACACCGTGGGGAATTTTGGAATTGAGGACTGGAAGCTCTTTGCACGCTCTCACCTCCCTCTCCTGGGCTTAACCCCAGCGTGGAAGGAGGAATGGCAAGCAACTGCAAAATGAGTGGTGTGGGGGGAGAGAGAGAGAGACTTAAAGGGGCTTGCGAGGGAAATCCACGGGGTGCCTCACTCAGGGCCGGAAACATGCCTCGTTCCACATCTGTGTGGCAGGGCAGGGCTCCAGTGTGTTCAGCTTGTTTGTTGTGGAGAGAGAGGACAGCAATTGCACACAGCTGTCTCTCGCTGTAGCCATCTTTGCTCCCTGGTTTCTGGGATGGGGTTGATGCAATGTGTGTGAGTGTGCGTGTGTGTGTGTGTGTGTGTTGGGTCACAGTGAAGGAACGGGTGGGTGGGAGATCTCTGAAGCATCAAATTTGGGCAGAAGATGGGAACTGCAAAAGGTGAGTTTGGAACTGCATAGAACAGGGGTTTCCAACCTTGACAACTTTTAAGACTTCTGGATTTTTAACTCCCAGAATTCCCTAGCCAGCATGCTTTAAGAAGGGTGGACTTCCACTCCCAGAATCCCCCAGCCAGCATCCTTTAACGGGTGGATTTCAACTCCCAGAATTCCCCAGCCACCCTGCTTTAAGAGGGATGGATTTTAACTTCCAGAATCCCCCAGCCAGCATGCTTTAAGAAGGGTGGGCTTCCACTCCCAGAATTCCCCAGCCAGCCTGCTTTAAGAAGGGTGGACAAACTCCCAGAATTCCCCAGCCAGCCTGCTTTAAGAAGGGTGGACAAACTCCCAGAATCCCCCAGCCAGCCTGCTTTAAGAAGGGTGGACATCGCCCATCTTAAGCCATGCTGGCTGGGGATACTAGACCTGGCTGGGGGATTCTGGGAATCGAAGTCCATAGATCTTAAAGTTGCCAAGGCATATAAGTAGTCCTCCACTTACGACCGTTCATTTAGTGACCGCTCGAAGTTACAACGGCACTGGAAAAAGTGAGCTTTAACCATTTTTCTCCCTTTTGACCGTTGCAACCTCCCCACGGTCACATGATGAAAACTTGGCAGCTAACTCGCATTTACGACCGTCGCAGTGTCCCCGGGGGGTCATGTGATCCCCTTTTGCAAACTTGTGACCAGCAAAGTCAGTGGAGAAGCCAGATTCACTTCACGACCTCATGATTCACTTAACAACCGTGGCCCCCCCAAAAAAAGATAATAAATGGGGCGAAACTCCCTTAACAACTGCCTCGCTTAGCGACGGAACGTTTCGGCTTGACTGTGGTCGTGAGTCCGAGGACTACCTGTAGGATTGCCATCCCTGTTGTGTCCTTTTTCCGGGGTGGGGAACAGCGGGGAAGGGAGGACGAGGGTTGGGAAAATGTGGGGGGAAATCCTCCCTTTCCATCGGGGCTCGGCAAGGGATCAAAGACCGAGTTTAGCCACGTTGGCATCCGATTCTCCCGGGCTTCTGAAACCCTCTCGTCTCGTCGCCACAGGGTTGCCGAGAAGGAGCCCGTCAACAAAATGTCGCTGTACAATCTGGCCACCGTCTTCGGCCCGACGTTGTTGAGACCCTCGGAAGTAGAGAGCAAAGGGCATGTCATGCTGGCCTCCGACATCTGGTCCCACGATGTGATGGCGCAGGTAACCGGCGGGACGGGAACCCTGCAGAGTTGACCAGCACAGTGGGGTGGCATGGGGTCAGGGTGGAGAAGATCTCCACGGCTGCTGGGGTCCGGCCGGCCTCCTCTGCAGGGTGGTCTTCCTTGGGGAGGGGTCCGCTGCAAATCAGATTGTACGAAAGGTGATCCTCCCATTTAGGGAGGGGGGGGAATTAAATTGGACCGCAAGCTCCGAGCCGCCTCGGTTTCCCCATTGCACTTTGCAAAGTTTGCCAATTGAAACAGCAGCTTGACTTTTTTGGGGTGTGTGTGTGTTTGTCGTGTCGGGTAAGTGAGGCCGTTTTTGTCTGCATTGCCAAGCGCGTATTTGCTCTTTGCGTGTAAAAGGGAAGANCTGTGGATATAATTTACTTGGACTTCAGTAAGGCATTTGATAAAGTACATCACAACCTACTACTTGACAAGATAGAAAAATGTGGGGTAGACAGCATCACCACCAGATGGATCCGTAGCTGGCTGACCGGCCGTACTCAGCGAGTGGTCCTCAATGGAACCACATCTACATGGAGGGAAGCGTGTAGTGGGGTGCCCCAGGGCTCTGTTCTGGGCCCAGTGCTCTTCAACATCTTCATCAACGATTTGGATGAGGGGATAGATGGGGAACTCATCAAATTTGCAGACGACACCAAGCTGGCAGGAATAGCCAACACTCCAGAAGACAGGCTTAGGATACAGGAGGATCTGGACAGACTTGAACACTGGGCACTATCTAACAAAATGAAATTCAATGGTGAAAAGAGCAAGGTTCTACATTTAGGCAAGAAAAACCAAATGCACAAGTACAGCATAGGTGGCACCTTGCTCAATAGTAGTAACTGTGAGAGGGACCTCGGAGTCCTAGTGGACAATCACCTAAATAGGAGCCAGCCGTGTGCTGCAGCTGCCAAAAAGGCCAACACAGTGCTAGGCTGCATTAACAGAGGGATAGAATCAAGATCACGTGAAGTCTTAATACCACTTTACAATGCCTTGGTAAGGCCACACTTGGAATACTGCATCCAGTTTTGGTCACCACGATGTAAAAAAGATGTTGAGACTTTAGAAAGAGTACAGAGAAGAGCAACAAAGATGATTAGGGGACTGGAGGCTAAAACATATAAGGAACGGTTGCTGGAATTGGGTATGTCTAGTTTAATAAAGAGAAGGATGAGGGGGGACATGATAGCAGTGTTCCAATATCTTAGGGGTTGCCATAAAGAAGAGGGAGTCAAGCTATTCTCCAAAGCGCCTGAAGGCAGGACAAGAAGCAACGGGTGGAAACTAATCAAGGAGAGAAGCAATCTAGAACTAAGGAGAAACTTCCTGACAGTGAGAACAATTAACCAGTGGAACAACCTGCCTCCAGAAGCGGTGAATGCTCCAACATTGGAAGTTTTTAAGA